ATTTCATGTGGAAGAGAAGACAATTACCATCGTGTTCTTCTCTGAGAAGGGCCCTTGTCCAAAGGGTCCGGTGTGCTCAAATACCAACAGGCTAACTCTCCCCACAGCCCTTCAGTGGACAGTCACTGCTAGGGTCCAAATGTCTGTGTCCCCCCAAAATCTACGTTGAAAACCCTATCTGCAATGTGATGGTATTAAGACATGGGGACTGTAGGAGGTGATTAGGTCATGAGGGTGGAGCCCTCAGGCATGGGATTAGTGCCCTTTAAAACAGTCCCAAGGGAGCCTCCTGGCCCCTTCTACCATGTGAGGACACATAGAAGGCACCATCTGTAAGGAACAGGCCCTCACCAGACACCAGATCTGCTAGCACCTTGATCTTGGACTTCCCAACCTCCAGAACAGTGAGCACTACATTTCTGTTGTTTATAAATTACTTGTTTAAAGTATTTTGTTATAGCAACCAGAACAGACTGAGATAGCCACAAAGGAATTGCTGCTGGGGCAGAGCTAGGAAGAGAAGAAATGCTCAGGCTCCCATTGTCGGGTCCTCCACACCAGACCCACTCTTGTCCCACAGACTGCAGTGAGTACCTGCCTTATTCCAGGCATGTGCTTAGTGTTAGGCATGTAAATGGAAAGATTCTCAACATGTCTCTTTCAGAAGCAAAAACTGGTGATGCAAGCAGTTCCAAACTGGCTGCTAGACAAAGCTAGAGAATCCACCAGTTGCTTCTGTTCCACTGCTTTTGTGGGCTGCTTCCAGTCTGGAGAGGCTGCCCTGCAGGGCCCTGGAAGATACCAGAACTGACCGCCACCATCCTCCTTCATCTCCTGCTGAGCCCCTGGACTCTGCTCTGCTTTCCTAGTGACCCTTCCCTTTGGGTGAGCTCCTCTCTGGAACGGGGTCTTGTTCTGTCATCAGATTCAGTCAGGGGACCTTCTGAATAGAAGTCCTGATAGCATGGAGTCTCAAAATGGAAGAGTTAGCTCTCAATTTGTTTTTTCTGTCCAAGAGGTTCCTTGATTCCAGTACGAATTTATCTATCTATCTATCTATCTATCTATCTATCTATCTATCTATCTATTTTGAGACAGAGTCTCGCTCTGTAGCCGAGGCTGGAGTGCAGTGGCATGATCTTGGCTCACTGCAACCACCACCTCCCGGGTTCAAGAGATTCTCCTGCCTCAGCCTCCCGAGTAGCTGAGATACAGGCACCCGCTACCATGCCTGGCTAATTTTTGTATTTTTAGTAGAGATGGTGTTTTGCCATGGCTGGTCTTGAACTCCTGACCTCAGGTGATTCACCTGCCTTAGCCTCCCAAAGTGCTGGGAGTACAGATGTGAGCCACTGTGCCCAACCCCCAGTACAAATTTATTAACCTCCTTCCCCTACTAAGGGGAATACTGAGGACAACAGGCTTTGTCAACTCACAAAAGATCCTGTTAAGCAATGGATGCCTGTTCGCCTGACACTTGCATACTTACTCGGGGAACACTCTCAAGTTTCGGGAAAAGTTCAAGATGATCTGTTCTGAGACGACTGACTCTCCGTGGTCACCTGGACCCAAAGGTCACTTGGCAACTTTTCTTGTTAAAAAGTGATTAGGTTCTCTACACTAGGCTCCCCGTGACTTCCACCACAGTAGAAGTAGCTAAGCTCGAGAGAGCACTTAGTGAGCACCCGCAGGGTTCTGAGCACTTTGCATGCAGTCACTTGTTTACTGTTGACAACACCTCCATGAAGCAGGTACTATGAGATCAGCTACCTTTCACTGAGCATCTAATATGTGCAAGGTGATTTTCACCATCTGTATAATGAAGTGGAGAAATTTGCTCACCAGAATTCCAGAATTTCTCTTCAAAAATCAGGTGAATAGGCGGGTCAGATGAGAGGGTGTGTTTGGAAAGGGATACAGGGGCCATGACAGCGTAGCATGGGGCCAGCAGAGGAGGGGGAGGAGTGTGGCAGTGTGGCAGTGACAGACTTTATGGAACAGGGTGGCAGCAACAGTAGAAAGGACAGGGAGGAACTTCAACATGTTTGCTACGTGACCCATTACATCAATCCTTGTGCCCTTCAGGACAATCTATCATAAAGTTCGACATTCTTCTTCAAGTTTTCTCTAGTTGGATTTACCCAGTATGACTTTTGGATGTGTCCATGGACAGCTTTATTTAGCTCTCATTTTTAAATTAGGATGTTTAGTATAAAAAATCCCAGAAAACATCAAGTGTTGGAAAGGATATGGAGAAACTGGCACACTTGCGCACCGTTGGTGGGAATGGAAAATGCTCCAGCTGCTATGGAAAACACAATGACAGTTCCTCCGAAATTAAAACCAGAATTACCATAGGATCCAACAATTTTGCTTCTGAATATACATGTATATATACACCCCAAAGAAAGGAAAGCAGAGGATCAAACAGCTCTCTGTACACCTATGTTCATAACAGCATTATTTGTAACAACCAAGAGGTAGAAACAATCCAGTGTTTATCATCAGATGAATGGATACACAAAATGTGGTCCCAACATACAATGGAATATTATTCAGCCTTAAAAAGGAAGGAAGTTCTGACACATGCTACAACACAGATGAACCTTGACATTATGCTAAGTGAAATAAGTGACGAGGGACAAATACTGCATGATCTGCTTATATAAGGTACCTAGAGTAGTCACATTCACAGACAGAAAGTCAACGGTGGTTGCCAGGGGCTAGGGAGGAGGAAAATGGGGAGTTATTGTTCAGCAGGTATGGAGTTTCCGTTTGCAAGATGAAAAGAGTTCTGGAGATGGATTGTGGTGATGGTTATGCAACAATGGGAATGTGCTTAATCCCACTGAATTGTACAACTTAAAATGGTTAAGATGGTAAATTTTCTGTGTATTTCATCACATTTAAAAAACAATCCCAAAGCAGATGTGCAAGATACATTTTATTACTCTTATTCCCCAGGTGAGGAAATCCAGGCACAGAGAAGTTAGGTGCCTTGCTAGGGCTACACAGCTGGGCATCAAATCAGGATCTGACTCCCTATGAAGGCCACGCCTCTCTCCCACACCACAGGAGCATCACAGGAGCCCCTCAGGGAGCCGTGGAGGCAGAGGCGCTAGGTGTTAGCTGATGCCACAGAGACTCATCTTGGGCGGGCCTAGCCTGTCCTTTCTGCGCATTTTTCTCTCTAGACTGCACTTCCTCCAACCCTGCATTTTCTAGTGTCCTTATTCCCTTCTCTGCCTTTCCCCATCAAAACATTCTCTCAGAGAAAAACCTGATCACTCATTTATACCTAAGTTACATGGTGTGAATTTAAATCAATGCACTGCCTTTCTGAGGGGTGCTTGCATGTTAAGCCTCATCACCCTTTATGAAATGAAAGGCTTTGTTTCATATTAAAGGAATTTCAGGCATCAAGGAACAAGTGGGGAGAAATGGGAGGGTGATGGTGGCAGGTGGGGCAATGATAACCCAAGGAAAGGCATTAAATGGTGAAACTTTGGTCACACATTTAGAAGGGAGATAGATTTTATGGACATGCTGATCTTTCAGAGCTCCACAAAGATGTGAGGGGTGGGTGTGTGGGAGATGGGAGGATGGACAGTTGATGCTCAAATCCTTCCTCTGAGCAAGCGTAGCTGCCTGATTTCCAGACTCTAGAACCATGTGCATCCTAGAAAAGAGAATCCAGGGCTTGATTTTTTCAGCAGATCACTTCTCTGACCATTCTCAATGCCACCTCTCTGCACTGTGAAATCCCAGTCCCAAGCAGCTGGGTGTGGTAGCTGGAGCTCTCTGTCCATAGAATCTGAACAATGATTCCTTTAGCGTCAAGAATGCATTCCACACACTCACTGGCAGATTGTGCTGTACAGAACCTAAGGCAAATCCTGTGGACGTTGATGCCTGTCTTCCAGGTGCTTACAGAGTAAGACTGAATGTTCCCAGGCAGTAGAAAAGACAGCATCCCAACAGCATTGAGGCTAAGCGCCTGTATCTGAATCAGGCTTCCTGGTCTGAGTGCCTCCTTCTATCTACTGCCAGCTGTGTGACCCAGGGAAGTTTCTTAATTTCTTTGTATCTCAGTTTCTTAATCTGCCTGATGGGGATAGTAATATGTCTATTTCATGGGTAAGCAAGGCTCCAAATGGATCACTTCTGGATGCCTGCTTTATGAGAAGAAAACATCTCCTTCCCACCAGGGGGGTGTATCCTCTCCCCCAGCACACAGCATCGTGGGTGGGGACCAGAGTAGATTTTAGCCCCACCAAGTCTCCTGTACCTCCCTCAGCCAGGCACAAACTGCACAGCTGTACACAGCAGCCTGTGGGATAGTCATGAAGATTAGATAAAATGACCTCCGTGCTCCGTCCAGCATTTGGCTCAATAAATACCAGCTATTATTATAATCAATATTAAATAAATGCATAACTCAATTAGTATACCAAGAATCAGTTATCAGTCAATACTGTAGGGGAAAAAAACTCAACAAAATAGTAGAGAATATGAAAATACTCGTATGGGCCGGGCACGGTGGCTCACGCCTGTAATCCCAGTGCTTTGGGAGGCCAAGGCAGGCGGATCACCTGAGGTCAGTAGTTTGAGACCAGCCTGGCTAACATGGCGAAAACCCGTCTCTACTAAAAATACAAAAATCAGCCATGTGAGGTGATGGGTGCCTGTAATCCCAGCTACTCAGGAGGCTGAGGTAGGAGAATTGCCTGAACCCAGGAGGTGGTGGTTACAGTGAGCCAAGATCACACCACTGCACTCCAGCCTGGGTGACAGAGGAAGATTCTGTCAAAAAGAAAGAAAGAGAGAGAGAGAGAGAGAGACTCATATGTAGTAATGAGATGAATTTTTATGCTGACAATTGAATAAGGGAGTATTGTTGTACGGTAGAGAGTGTACCACAAATCAGAGACCCCAATCACACACGAGGATCCAGTTGAGAAGCAAACAAAGGCAGCAGCACGTACCTCCAGAGGGGCTGCCTGCCCTGCTCTGCTCTGCTCTGCTCTGGGACAGACACAGCACTGCGCCTCTCCCACCACATGAAAGCTCCAGGATAAGTAGAGCTGTCCTTGTTCTCGAAGCCTGCTGTCTGGATACGCACACCTTCCTGGCAGGAGAAAAATTATGTATTCTATTAATTTAAAATATTTTCCCTTGCAGCTCTGCCTGGTTGGCAGAATGCATATAGAAGTAAGAGTAAACGGGGATAGCAATTCTGTCTATAGAAAACATGTTCTTAGAATTGCATCTTAAAAACAATTAAGCTGGCCGGGTGAGGTGGCTTGCACCTGTAATCCCAGCACTTTGGGAGCTGAGGTAGGTGAATTGCTTGAGCCCAGGAGTTCAAGACCAGCCTGGCCAACATGGCAAAACCTCATGTCTACAAAAAATCAGCTGGGTGCGGTGGCTCACGACTGTAATCCCAGCACTTTGGGAGGCCGAGGCAGGCGAATCATGAGGTCAGGAGATCAAGACCATCCTGGCTAACACGGTGAAACCCCGTCTCTATTAAAAATACAAAAAAATTAGCTGCGCGTGGTGGCAAGTGCCTGTAGTCCCAGCTACTCGGGAGGCTGAGGCAGGAGAATGGCGTGAACCCAGGAGGTGGAGCTTGCAGTAAGCCGAGATCGTGCCACTGCACTCCAGCCTGGGCGACAGAGCGAGACTCCATCTCGAAAAAAAAAAAAAATACAAAAAATTAGCTGGGTGTGGTGACACACGCCTGTAGTCCTAGCTACTCGACAGGCTGAGGTGGGAGGATCACCTGAGTCCGGGAGTTTGGGGTTACAGTGAGCCATGAGTGCACACTGCACTTCAGCCTGGGTAACAGAGTGAGACCCTGTCTCAAAACAACAGCAGGCTGGGCACGGTGGCTCACGCCTGTAATCCTAACACTTTGGGAGGCCGAGACAGGTGGATCACTTGAGCCCAGGAGTTTGAGACCAGCCTGGCCAACGTGGTGAAACCCCACAAAAAATACAAAAATTAGCCACGCGTGGTGGCGGGTGTCTGTAATCGCAGCTACTCAGGAGGCTGAGGCATAAGAATCACTTGAGCCCAGGAGGTAGCGGTTGTAGTGAGCCAAGATCATGCCGCTGCACTCCAGCCTGGGTGACAGAGTGAGACTCTGTCTCAAAAAATAACAACAACAACAATAAAGCCAGGAAGTTTACTCGTGTGCGTGTGTGTGTGTGTGTGTGTGTGAGAGAGAGAGAGAGAAAGAGAGGAGAGAGATTGATTTTACTTGTAGATTATGCAACACAAAAACTAAAACAAAAAACTCCCAAACCCCACGACCCTCTTTTCCATAACAATTCTACCTTTTCTCTTCAGCTGTCCTGGCAGGGTAAGGTTCTTCACCTTCCCCAGAGAATCTCAAGGAACCGGACCGAGTTTGTTGCAGTTCAGCCCAGTTGCGGTTGTGGGTATCTATAGCAGAGGCTGAGAGTTGAACCTTCATATTTATTCTCTCCTGCCATACTAATAGCATTTTTAGTTGGGTAAGTGGCTTCCTAGAATGAAGGCTCCATTACCCAGCCTTCCCTGTAGGGTAAGTATGGCCACGTGGCCAAGTTCTGATCAATGAGACATGAGAAGTGATGTGTGCAACTTTCAAGTCATGCCCTTCAAGCAAAGGGGCATGCCTTCCTCTTCTCCTTCCCCTTTCTTGTTGGCGCCAATGTAGACGTAATGGTGCTGGTGAGCTGTCAGGATCACGTGTTTGGGAATAATATTCCATTGTATGTATGGACCACATTTTGGGTATCTATTCATCTGTTGATAAACACTTGGATTTTTCCTACCTCTTGGTTATTGCAAATAATGCTGTTATACCCCAGAAATGATGGAGCAACAGGATAGAAGCCTGGGTCCCTGAAAACACCAAAACCCACATCCTGGGTATATAACATCACACAAAACTCCTATTTGACTCTGACTTGCTTGTCTTATTGGGATTTTCCCACTAAGACGACATCTCATCCCCCTCCACTACCTCCCACTATAGGTGGGAAATAGGTTTTTCTTGAAGATTGTGGGCATTTTTCTTATTAGTAATTTTGGGAAGAGCTTAACTACAGAAAAGATTTGAAGACAAAAACAGGCTTTGGATCAGAATGGGAAAGTAAAGGAAGTCACAGACTGGGACTCCCTGAAGATGGGCTGTTTCTAATTCGGGAATGGACAGGCCCAGGGGGGCCTGCTTCCGACTGGCATCCAGAGCTGATGAGGAAACTGAGGCCGAGACCCTGACGCCATGGAACTCTCTCTCTCTCTCACACACACACACACGCACACACGCACAAATAGTGGAAAATGTCAGTATCTGGGGAGCTCTCAAGCCCTTTGAGAGTGCTTAATTTCTGGCAATCATTGGTGGGGCTCAAGCCCTCACACTCTGAATATATATATATATATATATTTTTTTTTTTTTTTTTTTCTTTTTGAGGTGGAGTCTCACTCTGTTGCCCAGGCTGCAGTGCAGTAGCACGATCTCGACTCACTGCAACCTCCACCTCCCGGGTTCAAGTGATTCTCCTGCCTTAGCCTCCTGAGTAGCTGGGATTACAAGCACCCACCACCACGCCCAGCTAATACACTTTGAATATTTTACAGGAAATACTACCTGGAATTTGGATGGGAGGCAAAGCTGTGTTACTAACCCCTGGGAAGTAGGTGGTGTTTGTCTCAGGCTCCTTTTCTTTTCTTTCTTTTTTTTTTTTTTTTTTGTGGAGACAGAGTCTTGCTCTGTAACTCAGGCTGGAGTGCAGTGGCACAATCTCAGCTCACTGCAACCTCCACCTCCTGGGTTCAAGTGATTCTCCTGCCTCAGCCTCCTGAGTAGCTGGGATTACAGGCACCCACCACCACACCTGGCTAATTATTTTGCATTTTTAGTAGAGACGGGGTTTCACCATGTTGGCCAGGCTGGTCTTGAACTCCTGACCTCCGATGACCACCCACCTCAACCTCCCAAAACACTGGGATTACAGGTGTGAGCCAACGCGCCTGGGCAGGCTCCTTTTCATTCATCGATTCCCTTTAGCAGTTCCAGGCTCCCTTCCTGTAGGACACCATCCTCCCAAGACACACTCTTGCAGAGGGGCTTACTGCTCTGTCCAGCCTCCTCCAGGCCTCTGCCACCAGGCCCTTTGCCCTCCTTGCCCTTTCCTGCCCCAGATCTGGCCAACTCTCTGCCTTCCAAGTGCACACTGGGTGCCCCACACCCTCCCCAGGCTCAGGAGGTAGATATAGAGTAGGAAATGGAAGCTTACATGACTTACTTAAGGCCACAAGGCTACAGGCGGGGAGCTGGGACTTTAACCCAGGCAGCCTGACTCCAGCATCTGGGCTCTTTGGCCTGAATCCTCCAGCCTTCAGGGCTCACCCTTCCTTTAACAAACAGATAAAATGTCTCAAGTCCATCTCCTGCATCCTGTGGGAGGTCAGCAGCCTCCTCAGCCTTTCTAAGGCATCCTGGGAGGTGGGGCTTGGTTATTTTCTCCTGGTTACTGCTATCCGAATTCTTCATCCCTTCAAGTCTTGTTGCTGCCAGTATCTGCTGTCCTCTCTCCCCTTCCCTCACCCAAGGCATGAGCATTCTCCATCTTCCTTCATTCCCCCAAGCACACCTCAACCAAGCCAATCCCTGGAAATGTGTTCTTAAGGACTGAGGAGGTTTCGTAATAATAGAGGGTCACTATTCATAGCAGTGATCAGGAAAGGGCTGAAAATTCCAAATGAGTTCTCACTGTCCGGCAGGCCCACCCCTACATCCACAGGGATGGACAGGAGCACAAATGGAGACCTCAACCCTCACCTTCTCCCCCATTCTCTTCCCAACAACAGCTCCATCCTGCACACGAGGGACCTCACATGTGAACTCTCTACTGCCCACTTTGGGATCAGGTCATTCCCTGGTCCTCATGGAGTGGGAGAGGCTCCAGTGGACGTACCTCATTGGCCCTACACAGTGGTGTTGGCTAGGACAGGCCCTTGGGAACCAACTCTGCACATCTTCTAACTCCACTTTCAGTCACATCATGGTGGTAGCTTGAAATCAGTGATGGTGGGAATATTTACATTATGGAAATTGACAAACACTGTAAATCAGATTTTTGTTTTCCTGGGGAGCTATTTTGCCAGCACACCCCTGTGCCATGGATGCCTCACCCCATGCACACGGGCACAGCCCGAGAAAGGCCAGATCAAAGTTCTCCAAGGCAGTGGTTCTCAGATTCTGCTGCATAATAGAATCACCTGAGAGTTCTGGCAGTTGAGAAATCAGTGTTGTAACGAGCTTCCCAGGAAATCACAATGCACAGCCAAATTGCAGACCAATGCTCTAAAACATTTCTTAGCAAAATTTAGCATAAAGGCCGGGAGTGGTGGTGCACGCCTGTAATCACAGCACTTTAGGAGGCCGAGGCAGATGGATTGCTTGAGGTCAGGAGTTTGAGACCAGCCTGGCCAACATGGTGAAACCCCATCTCTACTAGAATACAAAAATTAGCCAGGCATTGTGGTAGGTGCCTATAATGCCAGCTACTCTGAAGGCTAAGGCAGGAGAATCGCTTGAATCCTAAAGGCGGAGGTTGCAGTGAGCCGAGATTGCACCACTGCACTCCAGCCTGGGGAACAGAGTGAGACTCCATCTTAAACAAAACAAACAAACAAACAAAAAATTTAGCATACATATAAATTGCCAGGGGGTCTTTTAAATGACAGGTTCTAGTTCTGTAAGTCTGGGTGGGGCCTGCGAGTCTGCATTGCTAACAAGCTCTCATGTGCTACTGATGCTGCTGGTCTCTGGATCATAATCTGAGTAACAAGGGTTTAAAGCACAGGGCCTAAGGGTGGTACTGCTATTCTGAGGAACCTCAGCTTTGCAGCTTATGGGGAATTTCTGGAGTTATCTTTCTTCTTTTTTTTTGAGACAGAATCTCGCTTTGTCACCCGGGCTGGAGTGCAGTGACGCAATCTTGGCTCACTCCAACATCTGCCTCCAGGGCTCAAGGGATTCTCTCTCCTGCTTCAGCCTCACGAGTAGCAGGGATTACAGGCATGTGCCACCATGCCTGGCTTTACTGTATTTTAGTAGAGACGGGG